CCCCAAAACCCCAAAACCCCAAAACCCCAAAACCCCAAAACCCCAAAACCCCATGCCTGAAAGGGAGACTGAAACTGTCCTTAAAGGCTAAATAAAGAGTTTGAATTATGCCTCTACTCCTCCTCATTGCCTTAGGTGGATGGAGAAAATAATTACGAGCAATGAAGCTTAGAGGACAAGAATATTGTGTTTATAACTAGGAAAATGACTTTATTGAGAAGTACAAGTCATCTTCTCTTTTATTGACTGGAACCATTCCTGTATCTCTTTTATTCGGAAAGCCTTTGAAGTAACGTTGTTTTTGTTATTGGTTGGATCATACACTCAAAGTAATTTGTCATTTGAATGAGGCCCTCTTCCAAATTTATCAACGACTATGGGCATGCCATCAGGGAAAAAGAAAATTCATTTCTTTTCAATATCAAAGCCGGGAGAGTACATCGTGAAGAAGTAGATGAACAGTCTCCCCTTATATGTAGACTCTTGCTGGAACATTTCATCAGAGTTCATGTTTTCGAATCATAAAGCTGCATACAGCATAATGAAAAGTCCATAAGAGCCGAGGCCTCCTGTGTATGGATCATTAAAACCATTAACATTTAATAATTTCTTGAGTGTCAGACAAACAGGACGGAGTACAGGGTACTGCTCTAGCTTTTCTTTGACAAAAGCATTCTGCTTGAGTCCCATATGAGCACCTTCGTAGCTATCGCTCATGCTTATATCTACAGCAAGCTCCTTAAGACTCGAACCGCTTGCATCAGTTGAAGCAAAGTTGATGAATGGGACAAATATATCACCTTTGGCATCATGAATTTCGTAATATTTCTCTAAATTAAACTTGAGCTTAATAATCGGCACTTGAGTATTCAAAATGCTCACAGAGCTAATTAGGATCTCTTCATCAAAGTATTCCTTGATTGCGTTATGCATTTCTGTAATATTACTAGCATGGGCTTGCGTACTACCAAAGCTATTTACGCCAGTGATCATGAGGTCCATGTCACTTTCAGGCAGAGCTAGCTCTGCTGCTACAGAGCCATAAATATGAGCTTCAACGTTTTTATGAAACTGGCCGAAGGCTTCCATGGCTACTTTCTCGATTTCTTTCTTGATCCCGATTCTGTATTTCTGTATTAGGTCTGAGTACAATGTAATGTTAGTCGTTTCGTCCATAATTTGTTTCGAAATCTTCTGATAAATTAAAATTTCGTAAATATATTGCCGATAAGTCGGATCATTTATCTGATTATAGTCAGGCTGAGGAGTGTGATAGCTTCCAAATGGATAAGGATAAGCAGGTAGGTTATGATCCAAGCTCTGTGGAATTTCAGAAGCTGGAGAACTCTCCTGAGCCATCTTCATTTGCATCAACCTGTCACTACTAGGAGTTTCTGTCTGATAATTAGCGTGTTTTTGGAACTTGCTAAATGATCCATCAATGCTTTCACCCTTAGTTTCCTCATTGCATAGTGGTTGTACTAGCCCAGTACTATCTTTATAGCTAGCCTTAAAGCTCTTGCTTGCATTACTTTTAGTTTGAAAGTTCTGAGTTTTCGATTTTGAAAATTCCGGCTCTTGTTTAAAAGACCCAGCACTTCTCAAGGAGTGCTTCTCAGAGCTATCAGCTTTATCACTTAACTTTTTGTTGGAGAACTGGTGAGCTCTATTGATCATCTTCCCTTGCGTAAGTTTAGAATCTTTTGAACTCTTTTTACCCCCTTCACCTGCATATGCTCTTTTATTCTTAACTTCAGTCCATTCATCAAACTCTGAAGCTTGAAGGACTGCACCATGAGTCCTGGCCTTACCTAACGTAGGAGTTACCAACTCGTTCATCTGTAAGTCCTGGTTCTTGATTCCATTGTTCTGATCATTCAGTGCCTCCTTATCTTTCTGGGCTTGTTGATTCTGATTTTGTTGCTGTTTCTTGTTCTTGTTCTTCCTATTTCTATTCCTGTTCTGCTTTCCTTTCTTATTTTTACCTTGTTTCTTCCCTTTTTGTTCATTCTGAGACTTCTTCTGGGTCTGATCCTTCTGAGATTGCTCCTTCTTAGTAGATTCCGAGGTTTGCACTTTGCCAAGCCTCTTTTCATCGGAATGTAGGCTTACAACTTCAGAGGAATTGGAGATGCACTTATTTACCTCACTGTTAGGTGAACTGCGAGGATTTAGTTTCTCTTCCTCTTTTCCTCCTTCATTAGTATTTTCTTTATTCTTTTGGATCTTACTTCCATAATTGATTTCTTCGCTTCCAGAATTTGTAGCAGTTTTATCAATTTTCTCACACACTTTTGTTGAAAGAGAGCTGACTTTCATTTGGTCTTTATCTATGGTTTTCTTGGAAAAGAGATAGAGATCAAGTTTCTCCCCATCATGATAGGCTTTCTGGTCTTCTAGAAGATCTTTCTCTAGTTTGTATTCATCTTCCTTCTCACATTCGCTTTTGGAATCTTGAAGCATGATCTTTCCTAGATCTCTGATAGCATCATTGTTTGCTTCGTCATCAATATATTCTTGCTGTTTCTCATTTTCGAGGGATTCCTGTTCATTGCCAATCTTGCTAGATTGCTCAGTGGCAGTGAGTTCATCAGACAATTTCTTCTCTTCTTCGACAAGAGTCTTATTTTTAGGTTTATCAGGAGTCACAGCTTTGGACTTTTGTTTCTGCTTCTGAGTCTTCTGTTTTTGCTGTTTATTTTGACTGTTATTATCTAGTGAAGCTGTCTTTTCCTTTTCTTTGTCTTGTTGATTAGATTGCTTATTTCTATTTTTCCGTTTTCTTCCCTTCTTATTAGGCTTTTTCTCAACTTTGACGGGCTCTTTTGTGCTATTGTCATCTTCGTACAGATCAAGGATTAATTGCTCAGACATGATATCGTCTCCCTTTTTAATGAGAGTGACAAAAAGATGCTTAGCAAACTCTCTGACTCTATCGTCAGTGTATCTACTATTTTGATAGATTCTTGACTCATTTAGAATTTGATACAGTTCTTTTTGATTTTTGAATATCTTGTATCCTTTGGTAGCATCTCCAGATGGTCTAATCATTATCATGAGATGAGTTCTGTACTCCTTGATATCCTTTATGGCCATGTTTCTGATGTCTTCGTAGAATTGGATCTCCTCTTCATCAGTGCATCCCTTAGCAGGCTTGAGGAGACCAGGAACATTATAAGCCAGAAGTGCTTCTTCTGTCTTCAAAAATTCATCAGCTGATGCTTCATCAGATGATGCGCCTTGGAGGAAGTTCAAAGCTTCTTCCTTCAAGTCAAGAAACTCCAAGAAGATCTTCTCTGTTTTCTTCCAGTTCGCCTCGGCAGGATCGAGGAAGGACTTGGAAGTAAAGTTCCTCTTGTCGTTAACAAATCTTGAGTAAGAGTTGTGGAAAGCTATCTCAATGAGACATAATATCTTTCCTCACAAGATTCTGGATGATCCGTTGAAGTCGCTTCCAAAAGTTCTTCTCCATGCTGTATGGAGTTTCTGCTCACTTTCTGTAAGCTCCTCTTCAGGTTCATTGAGGAGTTCCTCCCATGCAGTTTTTATAGTATGGAAGAATTCACAAGGATCAGCTACAAGGTCCTCTTGGACGCTGATGGTATCTTCGGGAGTTTTTGTATCCAAAAATGTTAGTTTACTGATGATTTCGTGTATTCATCCCGAAACTTCAGGAGGTAGAACAACATCCCAATTTTGTACAGATCATCCCTGTGATGAAGGGTTAGTTTCATCATTTTCGTCAGCTCCCTGACCAGTTTTTGAGCCAGAAGAACTTAACCGCTTATTCTCTAACTTATGAATATCGTTCTTAATAGCTTGTAGAATTTGAGAATTTTCAACTATGATAGTCGAAATAGCTTGAATCCTTTCCTCAATTTCAAGACCTTCAAACCACTCCGTTTTTGACAATTTACCCTTTGATGCTTGTCGTGGGGTACCTTTCTTGTCTTTCCCAACGAGGTAATATTTGTTATTCAAAACAAGTTGGATATTATCTTTTCCTGGGCACATTGGCATGTCGCCCCAAAATTTAGTTAGTGTCTCTTCTTCTGGAACTTTTGGTACATAGGTCGATTCCATTATTACAAAAATACTTAATTATTCTTTAATCAATCTTATTATTTATATTCGGGGTTTTGGGGTTTTGGGGTTTTGGGGTTTTGGGGTTTTGGGG